ACGAGGCGAAGTTTTTTCCCGTCACCGGGCTTTCGTTCTGTCGCGGCCATCTTATGTCTTTCTTCGCCCTTGCGTTCCGCAGGAGCGACCACTGTTTCGAGGACATTTGTAGCTGACTGCGAGCTCGATTCCTCCTAATGCCTCTCCAACGAACGCAAGTGTCCGTTCCTTAAGGCGGATCGCGGACGAGACCATGGGCGGAAACTACCGTGCGGATGTATGGCATGGTTATAAAATGGGGTATTAAGCGACGGTCTCCTTCCCTACGACAATTTACGGCAATTGGTACGCGAACGAGTGTACGAGCTTACCATTGTAATCATTAACGTCACGTGGAATCAGTTTTTCCGGTTTCCTTTTTTAGCAACGCATGTATTTCCTCGCTTCCCGTCTGTTTGCGCGAGATTCCTGTTTTACCTCGTGAAAATTTTACACTCACTCTTTCAACCAGAAGTCTCTTTCACCGTGGCTTATTCTATGGAAATGGTCGAGCGAAAATCCTGTTGGCATTTGTAATCGTCTGGAGGAACGAAACAGCGGCGGGAGAGTTGGCGCGGCTCAGCGATACGTCTTCATCGATTCGAATCATTGGTCCCTGGTTTCCGTTTCTCCTAGGGGGGTATTATACGCGAGAGGATTACTACCCGAGCGAAAGAAGAGCCGAAGTCAGAGGAGGGAGCGATGTGGCTGCGCCTTCGAGATACATGCATTTATTCAACGCGGGCCGAGCAATCCCGCCCGGCAGGAAAAGTGCTACGAGAAATGGATGGGCCAATTTTCTATTTCGCAACGCCTCAGGCCACGCACTGTCGGGATATCCTTTTATTATGCATATACACACATATATTTGTGGCACGTACGACTCTCACGAGCGCGAGAGCATGAACACGCGAGGGAAAGTTCCCATCGAGCCCCGGAGTGTTCCACGATGTCGCGGGGATTCTCGGGCGTGTCGGGCCAGAAGTGAGTCGAGAATCATCCGGCGAGATAGGTGCTGGTACATGAAGAAGCCCTTTATTTGAACGAGATGAAATATAACTTACCGCCCTTGGAGTGTGTATTATAAACGCGCATGCGAGAACCTCACTATCACCTACCATCCTGGAATCTCAGTTTAAGCCCGACGAGAGAGGGTATTTTGTCCGCGAGGGAGACCTCGCATGTCGATAAAGAAACGCACGCGTCTGCACGTTCTCCACGGCTTTAAAGCGTGATTACGATGTTATACGCATAAATGTTCCAACTTTATTATCACTATCCGGTAGTTTTCGCACCATAGCTAGCAGCTAGCGAAGGTGAATTTCGAAGGGACCGGTCGTTCAACTTACAGCACGTAAACTCGGCCTGATAAGCGTTCGGAAGCGTTTACTAGCTGACCTGATCATCGGGGAAGTCTACTAGGAACATTGTCAGTGCGAGCAAATTGTTACTTCATCGTCGGCAGAAAATCTCGCAGTTTATGAACTCGCATAAATATCTCGAACGTCATATCGTCATTGATATTATTATAGTATTTGTGACACCGAATCTCGAATGATTTTCCTTGGAATAAACAATTCTTGCATGGATTCTTAATAAACGACGAGAAAACGTTTTAATATAATATTCGGAAAAAAATGTTCTTTCAACTAGCAACGTTTTATTGAGATACAGTAAAGAAATAACGACAAGCTGCAATATTAATTCCAGTTCGCCAATATATTTTGCAGCACGACATCAGTCTGTCCAATAGCTGTGCACTAAGTTAGACTTTAATAGTTTCAGAATAAATGTCATACCGGCATCAAGCCGGCCAGCTACTGAACTTTATTTATTTTACCTCTCGATCCTCATCGTAGCTCCATTTTATGAGCAATTCAGTTGCAACATTCGTTAATTTCTGTTCGTCGTGCGGTCAAACAATTTCCTCATGGTATTAATTATTTCCAACAAAGTTGCCTCGTAATTTTCAAATGTCTTATACTACGAGCCAACTATCAATATCTGTTCATCAATTTTTTAGCGAGCACATAGTAGCGTGCATAATGCCGGGAAGCCTTTAGTGTAATAACATTTTCAAGCCACTATAACACTGCATATAAATATAATATGCGTTAATCAACATCTTCTGCTTTTGTAAAAAAATAGACAATATACATCTAAAATAACTAAAACTAATCTATCATCGAATGTTTTTTCTTTTATAAAATCATGACTCTTTAATCACTCTCGGGACTATTAAAAAATTGAACTTGTACAATTATTAGTTCGATCTGTTTTTATATTTCCCGATAACACTATTTTTACATAATTGCTTTCGGATCCACTCTAAAGCAATGACAGGATTTTAAAATACACACCATTGAAATAGCATCAATCGAGAATTAAATTCTTGACAATGAGGCGCAGCTAGCTTTACGTATGACCGAACAAATGACCGCAGTTATCACAAATTTCTATTGTTGTAACCAAAATTCCGTGTGTGTATGATCATGTACTTAATTGCATTAATTATTATTTTATGTTCGGGCGCACCGTAAAAATGCGATTGTGTGTGCCGGTGAAAAACCGTGGCAACAATTTTCAACTCTTGCGCAAACGGATGGAGGGTATATTGTATCGCACCGTACGTCTCCGATTTTCACGATTAAAAAACCCGACACCATTGTTTTCGATCACGTAGTACAGTCGGTTACATTTCATCGGCTTTGAGCGACGTAACTACGCGCGGCGCTAAATTTCAAAGTAAACAGACTGCCGCATCAATCGAAAATTAAATCCTTTGTTACGCAACGTGGATCATTATCACATACGTGCAATCGAATGACAGACACCACGGGCGGTATTACCGATGGGGCCTTATCAAGCACCATAACAATGTATAATCTCATATACAGAACGCGACGCGTGTTAATCTATTTGTGGCTAATGTACAGATAACCTGCCCCGTTAATCCGACTCTTTTGAAACCGGCTGACGCCTCACTACGTTGCAATAAAATGCAACAAGTATTCCTCAATAATAATTATTGCGTAAAATTATCGTAATCGCAAAATTATTACACGTAAAATGTTTCCGTCGACACAATCGATTACGAAGAGATGATGTATGAACTGAACAACGCTCTAATGCATGCTTCAGGTTCTTTACAAAAATTGCATGTGTAAATTTCCCTTTGAAAGCCAGACGCTTGCCCTGAGGTTACGCGGAAGTCGCGTATATAAAAGAATTCTCTCGCTTTGCGAGACCCAGTTTCTCGAAATAGCGCTCTTGTGTGCAAAATCCATTAATCTCACTAGGAATACCGAAAAAATGCTTCTAATATATTTCGGGTTTTTCAGAATGACCATGTTCTAATGATTTTATATAGATTTTATTACATCGTTAGTTACTAAAATTATATATCCGATTAGCTCTCCAATTCTTATTGTTTAAATTTGTCACATTTTCAAACTTGGTTTCGGATTTTAAAAAATTTACTTTTATTAATATTAAAAGAATGGGAGGGAGAGAGAGAGAGAGAGAGAGAGAGAGAGAGAGAGAGAGAGAGAGAGAGAGAGAGAGAGAGAGAGAGAGAGAGAGAGTATAGT